ATATTAAAATTATAAAATATTAAATTTTTAATGAGAAAGACTAAAATTGAACAATTATGATATTTAAGAGATTAAAATTGTTCAATTAAAAATTGTGAGATTAAAATTACACAACTATAATCTTTTAAGAACTGAAATTACTCAATTAAAACTTTAGAGATCAAAATTGCATAATTATAATATCAAAAACACAATTAAACAAAGAATATTTTATTCACAGTTTTGAAACGAGCCGTTCTGAATCCAGAACGGCCCGTTCTGAAAGCAGAACGGGCCGTTCTGTTTTTAGAACGCCCGTTCTGCGTCACTGATGGTGTTTTAATTTTGCAACCAGAACGGCCCGTTCCGGTTTCAGAACGAGCTGTTCCGGTCCAGGTGTTTTAAAAAAAATTCTCATCCACGTGGATGCCACGTATGCATCTACGTGGCATCCACGTGGCCAAAAGTTAACTCCGTTTAAATAATTTATTTGGACGGAAGTCCCACATTGAAACTAATTAATTAATTTGGGACTAAATTGAAACTAATTAATTAGTTTGGGACCAAATTGAGACCAAAAATTAATGAGGGACTAAATTGCAACAAAAAAAGATTATAAGGGACCAAATTAAATTTTTAGCCTTGATTTTATATAAATAAGCATTACAAAGTTCTCACTTCTCAATAACGAAGACAAAAGCAACTTGAGAAATGTAACATATATCCAACCTATAATTGATTCTATATAAATAAGCGTTACAAGTAAAAAGCATAGATTCCAATGTGTTAAACTCCGTGTATATGTAAGTTTTAACACATTGACACAGCATAACATGATGCAATGATGATCTAATGGTCACCAGCTTTGGGACTTCGTAAATAGGCAAGTAGGGGTGAGAGAAGCTCGAAGGCTGGCTGAACCTCGGAAGCCATTAATTTATACATGGCATTGGTAGCAACCAATTCTTGATTACTCAAATCCAAAGCAAGTATTGTAATAAGTAATATTAATTGCAAGGTGACAAAATTTTGCTTCTGTTATGATTGTACCACAGAAGCTATGAACTATGAAGGTATAAACTTCTCAGATTGAAAGATTTGAAAATGAAAATATTTTTGCTCATTATTCATGAAATTTATGGCCTACATCTCATTAATATCTAGATACAACAAGGGCTCTGCGCTAAAATTTCATAATTCTCCCGTTGGAAAAAAAAAATGAGAGTAATCAATACAAGCTTACAGTGTACAACAAATAAAATCATGGCTGACATCTCAAATTCAACCCCAATCACTAGCTATGAGGTTAGGAAGTTAGCAGCATCTATTCAGACTCCTTCACCAGGATGTCCCTGGTTTTTTACACTTGGACCTGCCCGTCCTCAAGAGTAGCTGCAGATATAAGGCTCTTGCCTCACCAGCCATGCCAATGATTTCTGAATGTCATATCATAGTGTTAATCACATAATTCTCATAGCATAACCCAGATCAAATCCGGATATTGGCCACACATTTGGACACCCCAAAAAACGTGCTCCTTTTTTCAGTTCAAGTTCTACATTTTACCCCTTATATACAGTGTATTATAAGGTATTGGGTGCATGGTTACAAAAATGGCGTAACTACTTAAGAAGTAAGTACATATGATCTCAGAAACTATAGAAGCTATTTTCAAAATAAAATTCTACGGCTAGAAGGTGAGCTTTATAGATTTTACAAAATTAGGTCAAGCAGAAATTCTCCCAGGGTCAAACTAAACTAGAATTGTAGCCCAATAGTAAACCCCTAGATTTCTCATCTAGTTACTAATCCACCTCCTTTTCGTCGCTCTTGTTTGAACCCTGAATCCCTTGGATTTTCATTTTCGGTAGACGGCAGTGGTTCACTCTCTAACTTTTTGATAACTAGGGCCTCTTTCTCACTTGGCATTGGAAGCTTGAACCGCTTACCGGGCTTCTTCAACTTCTCAACTGGGTCAAGGTGCTGATCCCCGAATCCTTTGGCGTTAGCTTCTATATCTACAAAATCCGTCCCTTCAACTGATAAGAGTGGCCGGTTATCGGTATCCACTAAATTAGTAGATTCATCAACAGGTTTCCCAGATTCAGAAGACCCATCATTATTAACCTTATCAAGGTCTTCTAATTTTAAGGAAGATGATGACTTGCTACTGATACTGAAATCCCTCTCCTTATGGCTTGTCCAGCGTTCACATTTAGATCTTACTTGTTGAGAATCTAGCCATTCATCATCTGAGATGTCTTTCCCATGTTTTCTGGACAGACGATGCCCTGGAATTTCATCCTCCACATGTTCTTCATCACCAGAGCCTTTCATGCCCTTCATAAACAGAAACAGAGGACCAAATATCTGTCAGTACTCAGTAATTTTTCTACATCAGCGCAAGCTCAGAAATAAAAGAATGAATTGAAAAGTATTCCATAATCACTTTTTGGTTCAAAAGAGACAGAATGAGAAAGACAAAAATGCATTTAAAATAGATGCCCAATGCTTACTAAGAATATTAAACCACACTCTTGGGAAATAAGCAACAAAATTTCACTCCTCCAAGAGTCTAAAAAGCTAGAATCCTGCTAACAACATTAACCTATCTGTTAAATACAAATGAAACATCAAGGGAATTAGAAAGTCTGGCTAAGGTCCAACTGCAGACCATGCAACCAAAAGAGAGAAAAAGAGAGTGATGAGCTTTTCAGGTCTAATCAAATATGTAGAGACTCTCGGGTAGAAGCAAATTTCTTCCGGTCACCAATCACTTGAACGACATTTCCAGAGGGATCAAGTTAAATACTGACTGATAATATCAATCAAAGAACCAATAACAATCTCTTGTCCTAAACATTAAGGACTAACTACAGCAAGGAAAAAAAAACTAGCAACTTTAAGATAATAGATTGATCCTAAGCTGTCTACATACTTAAGCACGGCTCCCATTATGCAGTTTGTTATAAATCCTAACTGGAAAAGGACAAAATTTTACTAAAAAAGGGCATATCTTCTAATGTCTACCTTCCTCCCTGATAGAAATTAGGATCACATCACTCCCTAGACATGAAGTTAGGAAAAGAGGAACCATATGAATGTGAAAATTATATATTTGTTTCCGAGCCGCCTTCCCATACAAAATATTTAACCAGGAACCAACTACTGGAAAGGGCAGAGCCACCACTTACTCTATTTATGTTCCGGCACTGATTTGCTAACTCTTCATAATTCTAGACCCACAATACTACAAGGTGCAAATAGAGATGGATAAATTTCAGATAAATCTCACATTTTAAATATATAAGCATCAACTATACCTTGTCATTGATCTCACCACTTTGATCTTTTGGACTTCTGTTGGATGTGCCTAAACTACCAAGACTACCAACAATGGGTTCTTTGCTTTTCCTTGTGCTCTCATCACACTTTCTCTCATGAACTCTTTGACTATCTAAAGAATTAGTAGCACGATCACCACGACGACCTGATTTTTCCTTCCTAGATTGCCTTTCCTCACTACTATATTGATTTCCACGAACATAAGCATCATCATGTACCTTACAATGTGGGCTTTCGCCCTTATTTCGACCCTTCCTTTTCAATTGGTCACTGGGTAGTGTTGCTTCTCTAGATTGGTATTCTTTCTGAGAAACTTTATGTTCATGCTTAGCTCTAACATGGCCAATCAATGTATTTTCTTCATCTCCTGGCCCATTTCTTACAGAACTCCGTCCCCCTCTTTCACGCGTGGATGGATGTTCTTTGTGAGGCTGTTTCACCCGACGCCACTCCTCTCTATCTCTCTTCCTATTACCCCTCTCCCTCAGTAGCTGGGCCACATTTTTTTGTTTGACAGCATATTGATCATCAAGGTTTTCTCTACTTCTTTGGTGGTCATCTCTCGTCCGTGGATCGAATGCTGAATCCCTTTCTGGCTTGTGCCAACTGACATTTTCTCTATAGCCATGCAGAACTTCTTTGCCTACATGCTCCCTCCTCAGATATTCCTCATTCTTCCTCCTCTTGCTATGGAAATACTCTACAGCTTCATGCTTATCTTTCAAGCTATCATCTCTTTCCTTGTGTCTTGGGACTCTTGACCTGACATCCTTGTCATATGGAACCCTATAGCTACCATTATCCAACTGTTTTCTTGAATGAAAGCTATCATCGTTATCGCTTCTCTCATTTTCTCTAACACTACCCCTGTCTCTCTTTCTTAGCCCATCATTTTTAATCCTTCTGCCATAGAGATCATCATCTCTACGTGCCCAATCCATGTCAGAGCCAACCCTATCTCTTTGACAATCAAATCCATCAATCTTTGTGTGTGATTGATGAGCCAAGCTAGGCTGCCGGTCCTTGTAAGGGTATGGATCCTCTCTACTTTTAATTACCTTACCATTTTTCTCAGCTTTTTGCTTTTCATCATGCTCTCTTCTATGGAATACCTGCTCATTTTCTTCAGGTTGTGGTCTAATGCTACCCAGATGAACAGACCGTGGATCCTGAACTACTTCTAAACCAGCCCATTGTTTATGATAATCCCTGCTGCTTTCTGATTTTGCTTTGCTGTTATCACTGCTTCTTACAGCTTTTGAGTCCTCCCAATCACTGCCATCGCCAAGCAAGTGTTGCTCAAGTAGAGATGTTACCTTCTGTCTCTCTGCTATCTCATCCTTAACTGTATCTCTGTTGTCAACTGTATTTAAATCAATGTCTTCCTTTTCCGACTTTGAACTTCCATCAGCTGTCCCAGTTTCCTCAAGCTGCTTGTTCCCTATGCTGGACTCTTCTACATTCTCAATGGCAGGAGATGACAAGTGCACACAATGTCTATCTTCCATGCTTTCAACTGAATCTTCTTTTTTACTGTCAACAATTGTCATTTCTTGACTACAAGTAACACAAGGAGACTGATCACATACTCTTCCTAGCACTTGCCTGCAAATAGGAAAAAGAGATGGTGTTAGTGAATTGCATATTAAAACAACTGAGCCTATTAGTTTCATATTTTCACCAAAAGCCACCAGAATATGCAAAGAAAATTACAAAATAAGTTGTTATCCTTAAAAATGAAAATTTCAATTAATACACCAAAAGCTTTTACACTTGAAAATCATTTCTTCAGGTAAGGTTCTAAGCATCTAACAAGTTGTTGGACAATCCTTTTCTTTTCATTTTTAAATATAAATTGGACAATAATTTTTTTTACCAGCTTCTACATTGAGTGGTCATCATATGAGCTTGATCTTAGATTCAACTCTTTTTTTTTTCTCTCTAACAGGAGTTAAATGTTTTATTGTGCTGCATATAATGTTCTGATACGACATGGAAAGTTTATGTGAGAAGGAATAAGCAGACATAGACCTACTTGGCCTGAATCAATAGTGTTTGCGACGTAATTGTGCTTTTAGGTAAATCTTTATGGATCTGAGTTATCATTTTTGTGTACTATTTCTTTCTTTATGCAAATATTTAGACAAGTTATAAATGATGTGACAGTTAATGCATGATGCTTTGTGTATGGATGTCTATCCAATGTAAAGGAAAATAATAAAACAACAAAGTACAACATTGGTAAAAAAACACAGGCACTGTAGGACCTGGTATTTTGAGGCCTACAATAAGAGTATTCAATTGGCTATTCCAGGGGAAAAGGCAAATTTTCTTCTCCGGGTATGTTAGTAGGATTGGCTTTAATATGCACAGAATTCTTCCCACCAGTTATCTCTTTTGACCATTGAAATGCTTAGATTCTAACCTTGTAATTTCGTGTCCAACTACATGATCTTCACTAAAATCCTCACTCTGGTGTTCAATGCCATCTTGTTGATCTTGAACATCAATTCTTGTACAGGAATCATCTTCAACTGGATCCTGTAAAACAATCTGTTCGCCAAAATACTGAGTAACAAATACAATGCACATGAAGGATGCAACATAAAAAAGAGTAATCTATGCTTATCGACTATAGCTCAAATACCTCAATGATTGCATCTGAATCACGGATTCGAGGAGGTCGTGTGTCAATAGAAGGAAGACGATCACCAGAACCACTTTCCACCTGTATTGCTCTCCCAGTTGGCTGGTAAATAATGAATCAATATAAAAGAGTTTCCAGCAAGAAAGTAATAAAAGCAGAAAATACTATAAATATTTTATACTGTGTTGACCAGACACAAGCAGACCAAGAGGCCAGAAGAAAACAGGTATCTGGCCCTATTAGAGAGGAATTCTATAAAATGATAGAAAATAATCTTCATGATAAAAATGTGTTTAAGAAAAATACATACAACTGGTGCTCGCATAGGTCCAGAACCTTTTATGAGATCCTTTTGTCCAACATCTAACTTTACAGAATTAGCATTATCAACAGGAACATCATGTATACCAGAAGCTGCAGCTAATTCAGGGGGCAAATCTGGATCATAGTCCTGAAATGAAATGAAGTATATGATTTAATTAATTTATTTATTTTAAAATAAGCAGTTGACCAAAACAACTTGGGACAAATGTGATAAGGAACTACATTTAACAAACACTAGCATCATTACCTGCTCTGTTCGACCACTCTCATAAACATGGATCTTGCTTTGCAACGTAGACTCCAGGCGTAGTTGTTCCTGTGAAGTCATACAAGGATTTTCTTAGTCTACACTAAATTTCAGTTGGAAAATAACATATGCCAAAAAAATTACCAGTTGTTTGCAATAATCTTTCCAAGTGTCTTCATTCAAACCAAAGTTGAAAAATTCTGATACATCAACACCAGGATATTTCCATGGTTTCTCCTCAAAACTACCAATACCAACATCAAATATAGTCCTGAAAATAATTGACTAGTTAAATAAACAATCACTGGGAGACACGTCAATATAGTAAAATGGGGGCAAATTGATTAAAGCATCAAATTAGTGGGAGTTAAAGAATCTTGAAAATGAGATATAGCTGCACTTTAAGATTCAAACTCAATAGAATGAGGTGCGTAATGAAAAGTTCCATAAAAAAGAGAATATCTTATTGATTAGCAAGGTCACTTGGCAAAGAAAATGTTAATCCAAAGGAAAGCACACAGATAAACTAATAAAATGGAGGTACAAGGATTAAGGAGATATGCCTCAAACAAATACATGTAAACAACATCATTCAAAGGAAAATGAATAATGTTCTTGGTTAACTTAGTAACCTGACAACTCTTGCATGCAATATAATAGATTATCAATTTATCATAAAGTTCATTTACTCACCATATCTACACTTTATACTTCAAATCAAAATTACCCAAAAGCTAGACATGTTCATAGAGATCCATAGGTAAATGAAAAGAACAAAGATTATTAGTCTCCGTCCACTCTACAAGCACATGTTTAGGATTCCAAACACTGCTCCCCTATATGCAGTGCTACTCAAATGCTTCAAAAACAAAAAAAAAAGGCTTTCTAGTTAGCAATTGACAACAGTCTCTGTGTTTGGTGTCTTAATACAACTAGAGACAAAATAAAATTATCGATTAAAATTTACTTGTGAGAAGGAAGCGTGAATTCCAATCCACCACCAAAACCTCGCCCTGCTGCATTGTTTCCCCAAATAGGTAATCCAGGACCTGCTTGAAAACCTTTTGGCATGGAAGCAGCACCTTTTATTCCAGTTGGTCTCCAGTCCCCTCTGCCATGACCAGCCACAGAAATCATGTTATCTAGTGGACGAATCTGACCAGGAGGACCTCCTGGAGTGGAACTAGTTGCCGCAGGTATTGGTGCTGCACCAGGCCTGACATACTACAATACAATTAAAACAAAAATGAAAAATGCAAATCATTAGATATTTGATTCTTTTCCATTTCGTAAACCACAATAATTCTTAAACCAAGCAGACAACTTTTCTGAGTCCAGAGTAAATGAAAGATTTAACTGTGATGAAAGAAATACAGCTAGACTCTTCTCTTCAATAAATATTAGCTTTAGTCCTACATCGATTAGAAATATGGTTAAAGTAGAGCTTATAAAGCTTGGATAATCTTCGTCTTACAAGTTGATTCTATATGGTTAAATTAGATCCTAAGCCCAAATTCAAAGATGGTTATTAAGAATCACAAATTTAATGGGTCCCGCATCTTATTTGATGGGTTTCTCTCCTATTAGTTTCATATTTTCACCTCTAGAATGATTTTTATATCTCACATGTCTCTTCACACAGGACTGACAGGAGTCATTTGGGCTTTAAGCATGGAAATGCACAAGCCAAACCTAACTTGCGCTGAAATTCAACTATTATTTAATTATTTAGAAGGATGGGGCCAGCAAGGATTGAACTCTTGAGTATTTGCTCGTAAAAACTGTGATACCATGGTCCTGTTTGGATAAACTTTTCCAATAACAATAGAAGATAATAAGGAAGTAAAATGAATAGAGGTTTTCCCATTTGTTAAAATCAACTTATGCACTTCACCTTTTAGATAAGTTTGACGTGAGAGCTTCTATAGAAGTTAAGTATATAAGCCAATTTTAATTATATGAGAAGCTCAATTCATATTTCCTTCTTATTTGTTTCTTTATAAGTGCTTATAGAGACAAATTTATCCGAAAAAAAGATCTATGTCAAGGACCAAATATCTCAAAAGCTTATGCTAGGTGAAGGTTTATGAATGGTCTTTATATTTATGAGTGGGTCGACTCGTTAATTAGATGTCAAATTCAGAATCATAGTATAGCTTCCCCTATTAACTTGTACTATACATTCACAATTATGCAGTATTTAGAATTTCGGTGCTCAATTTTCATAGCTTTTCTCAATTCATGTAACAAAAATGGTTAAGGTGGTTTGGACATGTGCGAAAAAGGAAACTAGAAACATCAGTAAGAAGAATAAATTGCATGATTTTTAGTCTTGTGAAAAAGGGATAATGAGAGACCATGCAGGACATTGAAAGTTGTGAAAAGGAATTTCATGGTGATCCTGGTCCCTATAGATTCACCTAGTGGGGTAAAACTTTTTAGCCTCATCATATGTCACTTTTTAGTCAAAGAACTTGATTTTTAATTGAGCCCAATAAATTTGTGTGATCCATATAGCTGATTCACCTAGTGGGGTAAAACATTTGTTGTTGTCATCGTCGTCTTGATTCAAGTAACAAAGATATAAAGATCAAGGGGTTTCTATTCTCCAGAAAGTCTAAAAGATTGATGATAGTTTCACCAAAGGAATAATTCAGCAAAACTGTTCTGTAGTTGCACCACCTTATGAAGGAGCATTTAAGTAGATTAAAATGAGAGGAAGCTGTAAATAAATTTTTTTTTTTTTTAAAAAGTTAACGTAAACTTGGTTTAATATTTAGTGTAACCACATATTGGTCTAGCATCAAGCATACCCCACACCTCTTCCTTGAAAAGAAAACTAAAGAACAAGGGAGAAAGAAAGTTAAAGTTAAGTTTCAAGATCTGGCAACTGCCAAATGCAAAGGCATAGGATTACCAAAGATCAGGAAACACTAAGATTGCATTTTACACTTCAAAGATGCTGCCACTCAGGAAATAACTGTCATTCACAACTATACAATTTGAGAGAGTATAAGTTAATTTTAGCTTATTTCAAAAAAAAATTTCTATGAGTGCTTATGAAGAAAGTTTATCCAAACAATATTATAATTATTTTTCCTTTTTATTCACATTTAACGAGAAGAGAAATGCTAGGAATACTATTTGACATACCTTTTTAAACACATATTGACTTATTGATTAAAATTTATTAAAAATCACAAAATTTAGTGAGTCTCATACCCTATTTAATGAATTTCTCTCATTATTTTGTAATTTTAATGAATTTTATCAAAAAAGAAAAAGTGTGTTAAGACGAGTGTGTTGTTAACATTCCTCATCATTAGCAATGATAAAAACACTATCTGCCACAATCTTTTAAACATACCTCTCTTGTTGGTTAAATTTTTTTAGAAATCACAAATAACTTGGTGGGTCATGCACTATTTAGTGAATCTCAAGCATGATTTTGTAGTTTTCAATGAATTTTAAACAAAGAGTGTGTTAAGAAAAGTGCTCTAAGGAATGTTGCTAACATTCTCTTCATGAGAAATGCTAGAAACACACTTTGACACATTCCTATTATTAGTTGAAATTTATTGGAAAAATTTTGATGGGTGTCACTATTTAGTTCATATACCAACTAAGCTTCCAAAAAATATGTCAAGGTACCGAGTAATTCAGATACCATACAAAACATCGCCACATAAAGTTATCATTGCTCGATATATTTTTTGCAATCTGCATGACAACTAATATCTATGATCGTTTGGTGCCTGAATCCAAGGCTCAGCTAGTGTACCCAAAAGGAACGTAAAAAGGGATATTAAAAATTAAATTAAATTAAACTCTTTCCATTGGTGCAAGTCCCAGTAAATTAATAAGTAACATTAGTAATAACAGATGAAAGATTACAAAATCTTTTCCACTGGCTTCTTTTTTCCACTATTCACAACAATAGAAACACACAGCGCGAGCTGAATTGAATGACCAAACTTCATTTACTGCTATGCGTAAGTACAATTACAAGGCCACTGACCTTAAACTGGGAATGAAAGGGATGATGATGATGAAGATAACCCTGGTTGCTGTACCCAACTTTTGGCGCCAGTGCCTTCGCTGACTCTCCCACGTCCACCGAATTCCCGCCCCAATCCTGCTCCTCGGCGTCGGCGGCGATATCCACGGCGCCGTCTTGGCCGGGCGCGGGCGGCGTGAGGCTGTTGTCGTCCAGCACAATCTGCAAATCATCCTCGCTTTCATCGCTATCGTCCCAATCATGGCCCTGGCCGATTGTTCTGGAAGCTTCTTGGGCGGCGTCCTCGATGTCGAATTTGATGTCTCTGTGGGCATGGGGTGGTTGTTGGCGGTGAATGGGTTCGGCATTGAAGGGTTGAAGGACGTCTGCGTATAAATCACCGAACTCGTCATCTTCTTCCATGGCTGGGAGAAGAGTTTTGAGGATGAAAGAGAGGGTTTTGCTGCGAGTTTTGGGAAATGGCAAAGTGCCAAACCCCAATCTTCGTCACCTTCTTAAACTGCCCTTTTATAAGCATACATTCATTCATATGCTAATAAAATAAGGCTATTTTGGTATATTTATTTTTGATTAGTCTCAAAGTTTTTACACTGTTTTGACATGTAATAAATTATGAACAAAAACGAATGGAGTAAAAAAATAATAATAAATGATAGTTGTATAAATTGTTATACAATATTACAAAAGCTACCATTAAAGTATATCTTATAATATGATTTTAAAATAAATAGAACATATGCCATATTATTAAAAAAATATCATTTATTAAGTCATGAGATGAAAGGATTTTTTGGTACCCTCCATCTTTCTTGTTTACCGTAGATATATTTACCAACAAATGCAATTACATGATCTATGATCTACAAGTAAGTTATTTTAAGAATTTTAGTTCGTGTAATGAATGATCTACAAGTAAGTTATTTCAATGCAAATTTTAGTTTACATAAATCAGAGATAAGATAAATGAAAATTTTTTAAAATTGAATTAAACTCATTTATTTTTTAAAATATTGTAATTTCATTTTAAAAAGATTAATTCATCACTAATATTATAATATTTTAATTTTTCACTTGCATATTTTTTAATAAGTTAAGATATTATAAGTTATATTTAATTATATTATATGATGATATATTTTTATTGGTATTTTATTATATTTCATTTTATTTTTGGATTTTTTTAATATATATATATATATATAT